TCCTTTCTTAAATCACTGTCTTTAGAAGAAATTTTTTAAAGTATTTGATACTTTACACTCTATTGATTGTTATATTTGTAAATAGAGAGTCACTCAATTCTTGAACATATATTCATGACAGTGTTGCCATCCAACTATATTTTAAACAGTAATCTTCCCAGTTTCATAGGTAGAAGAGGAAGGGTTAATTGTATTTGACTTTTCTATTAGACAGTCTGTCTAGATAATAAAATTTAATTCCCAAGTAAATTTTGCTAAACCTTATATGAAGAAATGAACTTATTTACTCATTGCCTGCCCATGTACAAGGGAGACACACTGGTAAAAAGTAGACTAAGTGGGAAAGGTAGACTCAGATTCTGCCCTCTTCAGAGGAGAAAAGTTTGGAGTTTTGATTTAGCAAAGTTTATTATTCATTTATAATATAAATGCTCTTCAAAGTAGTACAGCAGAATCCAGAGTCTATAGCATCAATTTTACTATAAAAATTTACTAGAAATAGGAAAATATGAACCAATGGAAAAGCACTCACTAGACACTGAACCCAAAATAACCCAGATGTTGAAATGAAAAGCACTTAAAAAATTTATAAATATATTTAAGGGGTTAAAGGAAAATAAAGTCATAATAAATGGACAGATGGAGAATCCTACAGAGAAATGGAAATTACCAAAAAGAACTAAGTGAAAATTCTAGAGTTGAAAATGCAACTAATATGAAAAATTCATTGAATGACCATTATAGAGTATCACAACTGAAGAAAAGCCCATGAACTTGAAGACAGATGAATAAAAATTGCCTAGTCGAAGAAGTAAAAGTAAACAAAAGCCTAAATGACCTGTAGGAAAAGTTCAAGCAGTCTAACATACATGTAATTGTAGTCCCAGAAAGAAAGCAAGGACCAGAGAATTTGGGAGAAAAGGTAGTTGAAAAAATAATGACTTAAAATTTCCCAGATTTGGTGAAAAAATTAATTTTATTGGTCTAAGAAACTCAATATAAAACTCCTTCACCTAAGCATTCATAGTAAATTGGTGAAGTGCAAGGTTTCTGTAGCATAGCGGTCATCACACTCGCCCAAGCACGAGAGGTCCTTGGTTTGGATGGTAACACTGTAATAAATATGTGTTCAAGACTTGAATGACTCTCTATTTACAAATATAACAACTATCAGAGTATAAAATATAAAATACTTTTAAAAAATGCTTCTAAAGACACTGATTTAAGAAAGGAGGTTGTTACCAACTGTGATATAATGAGTTATAAGAAATACATATTTGGTCATTATTATGACCAAATACATGTTTCCCAGCTATATTTGGTCTTCATCCACAGTTCCTGAAATAAATATAAATAAATATAAAGAGAAAATAATGAAAAGAGGCAGAGAAAATAATATGTATGTACAGGGAACAATACATCCCTCTATAAGATTAAATTTTATCATCAAAATTACTTTAAATTTTTTATTTTACTTCAAAATACATTACTTTAATATACAAACCTTTCACCCCTAAATCTCATAAGTAAAAAGAAGAGGTTCATGTTTGATTTTTGATACTCTTAAATACCACTGGATTTTTCTGAGGATGCTCATATTCCCTTTTAAAATAGAGGAAAATGAAAGCAAAATGTTCTAAGATGAAATGTATTGTTATATCTCTATCTACAAATAAGTAACTACAGGATGTATTGAATTATTGCCATGCCTAACCCTGGAAACACAGGGGAGGAAAAACTGGCCAGGACATATTTGAATTCAGATTCTTCATCTGGTTATGCAGGATATATATCTCAAACCAAGGACCTCTCGTCTGGGTAAGCGTGATGACCCCTATACTACAGAAACCTTCCCAAAAGGATACATATTTCAATTACTTTTTTGAATTAGCTTTAATCAGATTTTACTTGGTAGCTATAAGAAAAGCAAAACAAAGAATGATGCCTGGTGGAGACTGCAGTGGCAGAATTGACCAAGTATTATTGTTCCTCTTCCCATAGTCCACTGTTGCTCAAAAAGGCATCTTTTTGGATCATAAAAATAACATTTGCTGTCTTAAAAATTTCATAAAGACAATAATATCACTCAGCCCCAAAGCTTGACTGGTTGTGTGATGTTGGGCAAACTACCTTTCTAAGCTTCATTTTCCTCACATATAACACGCACCCCTTTGGGCTGTTATGAAAAGTAAATGAGATAAACATATAAAGCCAGGCACATTTCAGGTACTCAGTGATACTGGTTCCATCCTTTACCTTTCTCTCACTTTAAAAAAGGATTTTTAAAGCCAAAACCACAAAGTTAAGGAGTCTGAAAGAAAGAAGGTAGATATTATATAATTCTATCAGAATGGAACATTTTTTAAAATACTGTTTTCTGATTACATATGTAATTCATATTCATTATAGAGGATTTGGGAGATACAGAAAAGCATAAATTAAAAAATTAAAAATATTTGTAATCCCACTATAAAGACTTTATTAAAATTTTGATATTTATCTTTCTTGTCTTTTTTCTACATTTTATCCCATCTTGGAAAAAAAGAAAAAGCCTTTCCTGAGTTTTCTTTACCCAGCCGTCATCCTTCTCTTTCAAAAGTTATGCAGCCAAATTTCTTACAGCCTTCCTCTCGCTCTTACTTCTGGTTCTCTCTGTGAAATCTGTTCTTAACAGGTAGGCCAAGGTATTCCAGTAAATCCAACATTATTTTTGTATTTTTTTTTAAATTTTTAATTAGTGTTCTGCACTATAAACCCCTCCTTTATTCTTGAAATGTCTTTCCCCATGGGCTCTAATTTTTCTTATTTCTTTGATCATTTCTTATTCTTTATAGGATCCTTCACATCAGTTTGTTCTTTAAAAATTTGATATTCTTACATGTTCTGTCATGAACATCTTTTATTTGTCTCCATCTGATGCTTCTGAGGTGTCCCAAACTCAGCATTTCCTAAACTGACTTCAATCCATCATTTCATTCCCTCCCACAAACAAAAGTTTGTACCTCCCTCTGCCTACCCTACCATCTGTTTGTTTACTCAAGTTGGAAATATGATTCTTCATTGATTCCACTCCTGGATCTGGTCAGTTGCCTACTTCTTCAGCCCCAAATACCTTGAGTCCCTCTTGATCTCTTCTGCCTTGTTTCCTCATTTATGTCCATCTGATATAACTGCATATTTCATATGGTCTTCTTCCACTGGACAATAGGCTCTATAAGGATAAAGATTCTTATATGCTTTGTTCATTGTTATATCCCCCATGCCTAGAAATTTGCCAAACATGTAGAAAGCATTTAATACATTTTGTTTAATGAAAACAAATCCCCAGAGTGTCTATACCAGCCTAAGATTTCTTACCTAGATCACTGAATGAGTTAAGTAACTGGTATTCATGAATGTGGTTAGCTATTCCAATTAATTTTCGACATTGCAACCAGAATGAACTTTCTAAAATCTAATTATGCTATATTCTTATTTAAAACTCACTGATGGCTTGCCATAGCCCTTAGGATAAAGTCCCTGCTCCCTCTCTCACTTAAAAAGCCCTTCATGAACTAAAGTCCTACTAAGTTTTCAGTTTTATCTCCTGCCACTACCCACTTTGAACTTTGGTTCTAGTCATACTGACTTCTGTTATTTGCCCAAAATTATCATGCTTTCTTACCTCTAGACTTTGCACATGTTGATTGTTTTCTCTAGAACACTTTTACTTTTTTCCTTTGATTCCTAATCATTAAGGCATCAGTTAAAAGGCATGTTTTAAAGAGCTCCTGCATGCCCTTATGACATCAGGTATTACTCTTTTCTTAGTAGTTATCCAGTTTATTGTAAACGCTTATTTAATTGCCTGGTTCTATCTTTAGAATATAGCTCCTTGAGAAAAAACAATGTCTGTTGATTTCTATTATATTCTTAGCAGGTGGCATATAGTAGGTGCTCCATACTTTTGAAAGAAAGAATGAGAACACACAATGCTACCCCATAGGCATATGTACAGTCAGTCCTCATTTTTCATAGATTCTGTTGTGAATTTTCCTACTCAGTAAAATTAATTTGTAACCCCAAAATCAATTCTTGCAGCACTGTTTCACAGTCATTGGTAGAAATGTGCAGAATCATGAAAAACTTGAACTGCCTTACATGCTTATTCCCAGCAGAGGTCAAATAAGGCAACACTCTGCCTTCCTGTTATAGTTCTCATACTGTTAACAGATATCCTTTTTGTGGTATATTTAGTGCCGCTTTTCTCCACGTTTGTGCTTTTTGTTGGTGATTTTGCTATTTCATGTGGCCCCTAAGCCACTGCTGAACTGTGGTGTCTCGTGTTCCTAAGCACAGGAAAGCTGTGATGTGCCTTATGGAGAAAATGTGTTATAAACAGCTTAGCTTGTTTAGGTATAAGTTGGCCTTGAGTTCAGTGTTAATGAATCAACAGTATTATTAAATAAGATGTGTTTAAACAAACATAAAAGAAGGTTTTGTGGTAGTTGGACGATGGAAATATTGTAACCAGAGACTCATAGGAACCTAACTGTATTTCCTCTAAGAGCAATAGTTCAGTATTTGCTAACCCAGTGTTTATGTTGACTTTATAGAATATAACTATCACAAGTAATGAAAATTGCCTATATATGTAATTATAGTATTTTGTTCAAATATATATATAAAATGTTTCATAGTTTGCTTTTTTCCACACATAACTGTGTGCATGTGTCATGCTCTTATTAAAAACAATGGGTCTTATCTCATATGTTATATTATTAAGAAAAAAACTATGTGTGTTCTTTTATGTTGTATGAACATGGATGTAAGTGTGGCTAATATGCATTAGGTTATGTTGGTTATCTGGGGGATGAGTATTTTTTTCTTAATTCTTAGTAGATGTGTTTCTTTTGCAGACATATTTGTAAACCATGGTTTTTAATGGATGTGTTGCATTTCCTTTTGTGAAAGAAATTAAGTTTTGACTAATTATGTCCTTACATTTTCTAATGTTTTAGATACTCAACATCTACAGTTGGATCTGCAGAAAATGGAGCTTCTGGAAAGTAAGATGACTGAGGAACAACACTCTCTAAAATGCAAAATTAAGCAAATGACAGCTGATCTGGAGACATATAATAATTTGCCAGCTTTAAAATCATCAGGTGAAGAAAAGAAAAAGGTAAATTATTAACACTCTTACAAAATTATAATTCAAATTTTTTTTCTTGTTCAAATTTAACATGTATGTAATTTATTGAATATATTATTTTCAGTTCATTAATACATAAGCTAAGAATAAAATAAAGATGTTTACATACATAGTAAGAATTTAGCATGATTTAAGTTTTAAACAGAAGGCAAAAATTGAAAATCAAGGGATAGAGCATTTCAACAAATACAGACTTTGTAAAGTGTAGATTTGATTATGATATCTCACTACTTAAGACTTCTCAATGGCTTTTCAGTGATATTTACATTAAAAAGTAAATTTTTGGGGGTAGAAACAGATACAGCAGACTTAATAGAGTTTTTATTAATACAGTTAATTTAGTTAATTATAGTTCAAAGGATATTTTTACAAACATGTTTTAGAGTAATTATAGCCTGAGTAGAATTTTATGAGCAAATTTTTGAAATTATTCAAATTAAATATGATTTATATTGGTTTGCTAGATATTTACTAAAGCTTGTTATTTACTTCTATTTGGGTTTATCTAGAAATTACATCATGAGAGGACAGTACTATCAACCCGCAGAAATGCCTTTAAGAAAATAATGGAGAAACTAAACGTAGAATATGAAACACTAAAAACACAACTGCAAGAAAATGAGACACATTCTCAGGTAAAAAAGACTGGAATTCATATCTTTTTTAGGCTGTCTTAATGTCTTAATCTATATTTTCACTCCAATACAATCCTTTCCTTTTTTTTTTTTAACCTGCTTTATCTTCCAGATTCTCTGTCTTTAAAGGTATCCCAATTCTTACAATCTCTACTCAAAATGAATTTATTCCTGCTTTCCTGCTTCTTAAAATATTGTATTGAAGACTTATTTTATACTGCACACTGTTATGGGCATACCCATTATGATAAATAAGTTTAAAATTTTTCAAAAGCAAGTAATTTTTTTTCCTTTGGTATCATTAATCTACAATTACCTGAGGAACATTATGTTCACAAGACTCCCCCCTTCACCAAGTCCCCTCCATATACCCCATTAGTCACTGTCCATCAGCATAGTAAGATGCTGTAAAGTCACTACTTGTCTTCTTTGTGTTGCACAACCCTCTCCGTGCTGCCCCCCACATAATACATGCTAATCGTAAGGCCCCCTTTCTTCTTCCACCCCCTTCTCCCTCCCTTCCCACCCATCTTCCCCAGTCCCTTTCCCTTTGGTAACTATTAGTCCCTTCTTGGGTTCTGTGATTGTGCTGCTGTTTTGTTCCTTCACTGTGTCCTTTGTTCTTATATTCCACATATGAATGAAATCATTTGGTACTTGTCTTTCTCTGCCTGCCTTATTTCACTGATCATAATACCCTCTAGCTCCAGTCCATGTTGTTGCAATTGGTAGGATTTGTTTTCTTCTTATGGCTGAATAATATTCCATTCTGTATATGTACCACATCTTCTTTATCCATTCATCTACTGATGGACACTTAGGTTGCTTCCATTTCTTGGCTATTGTAAGTAGTGCAGCGATAAACATAGGGGTGCATCTGTCTTTTTCAAACTGGAGTGCTGCATTCTTAGGGTAAATTCCTAGAAGTGGAATTCCTGGGTCAAATGGTATTTCTATTTTGAGCTTTTTGAGGAACTC